TGTGTGTGTGTGTGTGTGTGTGTGTTCGAGAACACTTCAGAGTCCGTTCAATTTGTTTCTTTCACTTTCTTTCCTCCCCTTTCACCACTTCGAATCCTTTTCCATTCTTTGTCATTGTCTCTCCTTCTCCACCTTTCGTGTTCATTGTTTCTTTCTGTCCACTCTTTGATTGTTCCGTCTTCTCCACTTAGTTTCCGTCTTCTTGTTTATCCCTTTCAACGTTTTCTAAATGTCTGCAACACCCTAAATGTCTTGCGAGAGTGAAGTCTTGAGCACTGAGACGGAACAGCTTTAAATGAACCAACTGAATAGTCCAGATTCAAAACCCAGAATGGACAAGAAATACCCTGGTTGTCTTTTTTTCCCAAAGAAATGCTATACTGACAGACAAGAACAGAACCACATTAGTGGTGGTATGACAATAATTAAAGGCTTCAACATTTATTGATTTTCTTTTACGAGCTCGTGTTGACAAAGGTGGGTAGAAAATATTATACCGAAATGAAATTCTGCCGCAGAGATGCTAAACAAATACCTATAACAGTTTATGAACGAATGGATAGTGCGAAGCCAGAGTTCTCGACTGTGTTTATTGTGAAACGAGGCGCCAGTCAATATAATGAAATCAAAGAAACTGTAATTTTCTGCCCTTTGGGTTTTTTTTCTCTTGTTTTTTTTTGCTCAACACCTTTAATGTCCATTAAAAATACATTGATTGTGTGTGGATTTCACAAATAATTTCATATACCCAAAAATTGACGAGCGCCTGATTTCACCGCGTCATGACACAGTAGGTTCTGGTGCACGTCATCATATTATATCTATCATATATTTGGCAACTTGGAAACACATGTGTCACTTTTCCCATATAACTACGACACCTACAGAGTTGAAAGTTGACAAGTACCTGCAAAAAGATAGATAGATAGATCCCCATGACTGAGCCTGATTTTTTAAATATATTCATTTGCTGAATTTAGAAAAATATACTTGACAAAAAGTTCCCGTCCTTCTTTGACCTTTGTGGTTATTCCACTGAGAAACGAAACAAATCTGCGTAGCTGCTGTCCTGCATAGCCGAAGTGCCGGAAGTGATGTTTCGCGAGGCGCATTTTGTTTTGAGAGTATACTTCTAGACCTTCCAAGTTTTTGCATCTCTCAAGATTTATTGTTCCATTCCAGTAGAGAGTAACTATAGTAAGCCAATGACTTTTAGTTGATTTTAATGCACCGATCATTCCTTTCATCGAAAGGTCGCCCAGCTAGTTTTAAATAAAATATCACGTTTTTGAGTTTTTCTTAATTTGGTTGGTGCTTTTGTGGAAATGATTTTTTGGCTTCTTTGGAGTAATCATAAAACTCCTTATAAAAGAGTTTTATTCCCTGCCTCAAAAGTCTATTCTACCAAGCATCTCCGTCTTTGTGCCAGATTGATGTTTCTCTATCAGCCTGCCTTGTTTCTGACTAACAGCCGATGTAAATTAAGTCAATGGAGGTGTAAAACATTCGCATTTATTTGCCACAGTCACTCAGACAGAGTGATTCTTACCGCCAAAATTAAATGACGTGGGACTTTTTTAGTTTTGGTTTTTAGAGTTTTACGCATTCGCAACAATTAGTTCGTATACGTGTCGAAGACTAACGGTGGTACTAGAGAGTAGATCTAACTCACACAAAAAAAGAAGGAGGTGAGTATGTGTATGACTTTTGACGAATCTTGACCAGTCCAAATTATAAAAATATATACTGGCACCTTCCAATGAAGGGTAAAGGTCAATATGAACCCCACCCACCCCTTTCTTCCTTCGGGACTTACTTGACCTACGTCGAACTCTTTGTGGGGCCACTTTAGGCTCGTCGTGGCGCCACGCATGAAAGACGCTAGATTATTTTGATCACGAATCGGAAAAAGGGGGAGATTGCGAAATTTGCTTTTACCCAAATGAGGCAGGTTTATTAGTGGTTGTGTTCCTGTGTCACGGGCCTTGTGTGTCTCATGACTACTCCCAAATGGGTCATGACGTAGTCTGCTTACACTATGCAGTCGTTGTATAAATTGTGTTCCGGCGCATTAGAATCAGTCACTCGTCACATTTTTGGACACATGAAGTT